TCAGTTGGCCATCAGGCTCAGCAAAGATCAGAAAGAAGGAGAGGAGGACCTCCCCAATCAGTGGACATGGGGAGGGGCATGCATGCAGAAAGGGGAGAGAGGGTGGGATCGGGAGGGAAGGAGGGAGGGGCTTATGGGGGGATACAAAATGAATAAAGTGTAATTAATAAAAGTTAAATAAAAAAAATAAATAAATAAAAATCTCTGTTTCCGAGAAAAAGAAAAGACAATAAAAATTCAGCTCTATAATACCAATACTACCAGGCATGAATACTTAAACTGATATTAAGTTAAATTAGATACATGATTGTTGGGTACCTCCAAGATATGAGGGCCACTGTTGCACCCTTATAACACCACTGGAGCTATTCTGAGAGTCCAGTCATTGTCATTCCCTAGCTTTACCACTGGGAATGACTATTGATTGCTTTTCTCCCTTGGCAGCTTGCATCAAACTCAGAGTCAGTGAGAGCTATTCTTTAGGGAGGAAAACCTCCAGATGAATTCTAGTTCAATTCCTCCTAGTTCTGTGTCCGAAGTATGTGGCATCTTTAGCAAGAAGGTCTTAAATTCAAGTTCTGTGCTGCAGTTAAAGGCAACATCAATGGCCTATGTTGTTTTGGGAGTCCCTTGAACTCCCCTGACCAACAACTTGAAGGGAGGCTTCCCAAACCTAGTACCAGGGTTTTTATTAGTGTATGACTTTTGAGGGGACAATTATCACTCCCAGTGACATAATTTCATTTCAACTATTTGTAGTTGTATTCCCATATGTACATATGAATTATATGTGCATTTATATTAAGTAAACATAAAACAATGGGTTTCTCTATGGTTTTTTTCCAGTCATCCTTAGTGTTTTGTATCTCTCTTCCTCCCTATTGCTCTCCTTCACCCTCACAAGTCAAAGACCCCCACTTTATTTCCCCCACTTTCATATCTTTTGTGTCCTACTGTCCCCCATTTTAGAGCTCCCCCATGTGTGATTACATGTTTTCATAAGACATTGTCTGAATTTGCTTGAATTGTTAGACTCCTCAAAATATTCCGTAGAATCTGAACAAAAAAAAAATATTGAAGCAGTCAGGAAGCATCCATCCAAAAGTGACAGCAATTTGCAAAGTACAGACTATGTGTAAAAAGGTCAGTGACCAGTTTTGTTTTGTTTGTTGTTGATGTTTGACTCATTGCACTTACTGCTGGGTAAGTAAGGCTGTTTTAGAGAACAAGACTCATATCTTTGTATCCTTTAAATGAGGTAGCTCTTGATGAGTGAGAAATTGCAAACATGGAAGAAAAACCTTAATGTGGTGCCGAGTAATAAAGGGTGTTGGAATAAATGTTTTCTTAGGTTAATTCTGATTGAAGATATTTTAATTCTTACTAAAGACCACATGCAAAAATAGGTGTTTCCACAAGCCAGCTTTGTCTGTCTGTGTGTGTGTGTGTGTGTGTGTGTGTGCATAAAACAAAGTCCACAGACTGTCCCACTCCAACCTACAGCTTAGTTGTCAAAGCTTCACAAAAGCAAGAAGTTGTTATTTTTGAAGGTTTTTTTCACACTTTAGGATAGAGGAGGGCATTAAAAAGTCATGTTTCTGAATTTTGCAGGCAAATGGATAGAACTAGAAGAGATCATCCTGAGTGAGGTAATCCAGAAACAGAGAGACAGGTATGGTATACACTCACTTATAAGTTGATATTAGAAATATAATATAGGATAGCCATCTACAGACCTAAAGAAGCTAAACACTAAGGAGGACCCTAGGGATGATTCTTAAATCTTATACAGAAGGGCAAACAGCATAGACACGAGAAGTGGTGGAACATAGGAAACAGGATGGGAGCGTATACTATAGAGGATCCTCTGAAAGGCTTCACCCAACGGGGGATTGAAGCTGATGCTAAGACTCATAGCCAAACTTTAGGCACAATGCAGGGAGTTTTCTGGAAGAAGGGAGAGGGTGGGATAGAAAAACATGGAGAGGACAGGAGCCCCACAAGGAGACCAACAAAGCTAAAAACCCTGAGTTCAGACTCTCCTGCAGAGACTGATGCACCAACCAAAGATTATACATGGAGAGAACATAGACCCCTTGCTCAGATGTAGCTGATTTGCAGCTCAGTCTCCATATGAATCTCTGAGTTAGGGGAGCAGGTGCTGCCCCTATCACGAACTTGGTTGACTGCTCTTTGGTCACTAGCCGCTGGTGATGAGGTCTTACCAGGCCACTGAGGAAGAGGATCAAGGCAGTCCTAATGAGACTTAATAAGTTATGGGCAGATGGCAATGGTGGAGAACTCCCCCTTTCAGTGGACTAGGGTAAGGGGATGTGGGGAAGAAGGAAGAAGAGAGGGACTGGGAGTAATTGGGGGAGGGGGCTTCAATAGGGATATATAATGAATAAGTTGTGGAAAAAAGTTCTAAAAATTATAAATAAATAAACTCTCCTTTTTCTCAAAAGAAAAAAAAAAGTCATGTGTCAGAGCCCTGAGGTGGATTTTTATTGCTTTGTCTACCAAAGTTAGAATGATTTTTTCCTATTAAAATTCTTTTTTAAAAGATTTTTGGTACTGGGACTGGAGACATGGCTCAGCAGTGAAGAGCACCAGTTGCTCTTCTGGAGGATCTGGGTTCAATTCCCAGCACCCTCATGACAGCTCACAGCTGTCTGTAACTCCAGTTCCAGTAGATCTGACACTTTCTTCTGGCCTCTGCAGACACTGTCTGCTTGTGATGCTCACACATACAGGTAGGTAAAACAGATAGAGACATAAAATTTAAAAAATTAAAAATTAATAAGATAAAAAAAAATTGGTATTATCAAAGCCATATATATTCATAAGGAAGTTGAAAAATAAAGAACAATGAGAAAACAAAAATTCCATGTTTTGTTACTTACAAATATTTATTATTGTTATTTTTGTATAGTTCCAAACATTCTATTTCCATTGGTATAATCATATTCTTTATTAAATGTTGTACCCTACTTTCAAATAATATTATATATTATACATAATATATTCAAATAAAATATATCATATTATAATAGTATAAGCATTTTATCATAAACTGTTTATATAAACTGTTTATATATAAATGGATCATAATATTCCATTTGTAAGACTATAAAATATTTTTCCTTACTATTGAACTACCTTTATCTTTTTTTTTTAATTCTAGTTTATATTGGAACAGAAAATTTGTTCCCATCTCTGTTTCCTCAGGGTTCATTCAGTAACCAGTCCATAGCACAATTGCTGCTCAGGGCTTACTATGTATCATATTCTATTTTAGTTGCCAAGTGTCTGCCTCTAGTGGCAGGTTTGTCTTTTACTAAGAATCCCTCCGGGGTGGGGGGGAGAACAAATATAAGAGAAAGCTGATGGGTTCAGCTTTGGTTGTGTTAAATTTGAGGTGTTTGCAGCATATCTGATTGGAGATGTTAAGAGAACAGAGCTCAATGTAGCCATCTGGGAAGAATTATAGAGTTACAGTCATAGTCATATAGATGAAAGATACCATTTAGAGAAAGAGAGAGCATATTTATCTTCACTCTGAAATCATCTGACATGACAGCAGAACATGAACCCTACCAAGGAAATGGAGGAGAAGGCAAAATACTAGGAGTAAAAACAAGACAGCATGATGTCACAGATAGCACAGAAATCATTTCAGGGATAAGGAACTGGCTATTGGGTCTAAATGTAGGGAAGAGGTCAGGCAAGATAAGAACCAGCAATACTCTATTTGTTTGTTTATCAAGGAATTTATTGACACAGAGATCATTGGTTGAATATCTTGTTTAGCTCAGTTTCAGTGGAGGAAGAAAGCTAGATTGCCAAGAGTTGAGAAATGAATGAGAAAAAAGAGTGAGAAATTGGAGACATGTCTCACCTGTGAAGTACATTTTCAATAAACTGACCCTTGAACGAGGTGTAGAGAGATCTTGCATATGTGTGAGACACTTATCTTCTTTTAAGGTGGTAGAAATTTGAGTATGTTTAATTGCTGGTGATAGATGAGATCTGCTTACCTTTCATGGCTGATGTGAAGCAAATAGAGACAGAGAGGAAGGTAGAGATGTGGGTAAATGTAAGCATTTTAGTGTGTATTGATAGACATCCACATGCTTGCTTTCAAAGAGGGTCTTTAAGCAGCATACATTCCTGCTACTAGTTACAAAAGAGCTTATTTGGTCATTACTCGGTAAATGCTATGTACAACCCCCCAGAACTGTTTGCTAAAGCATCCCACTATTGTTCTAGTTTGTTGTCTAGTTTCTAATGAGTATTTTAACCAGTTATATCTTTGAGTATGAATTTATGAATTTAATCTATTTACTTTCTTTAAAAGGTACTTTTGTTTGCCCCCAAAAAAACAGAAAAGTCAGTCTGAGTGCACATATATTAATATTCCCCAAAATAAAATTCAGACTCTTTTTCCACTTTTTACCTCTTTACCATTACCCTCTCCTGTTACCTTCTCACTCCCGCTGACTTCCTTTCTTTCTTTCTTTTTTTTTTTTTATCTAGTCACCCTTCTATTATTTTTTTTAATTTTATTTATTTATTTTTGATGACCCAATCCATTTCCTTAGGATTGCTTACAGGGTCCTGGGTAATTATTTACAGGAACTTGGGCCCCTTACCAATACCTCCACCACTGAAGATGTCTTTCCCTCCCCCAGTAAGACTCTTGATTTCTTAGAAGTACTTGACAGACAACTTTTGGCTTTCTGAACAAAGAAGTAAGTGAAAAAATTTTCCCCCAACCCTCATCATCAAATAGTGTGAGCAAAGGTAGACTTAAATGGTGGAGGAGGAAATTCCTCCAGTGCCTTCCTTAAGGCTTTTGTTCCCAGAACTCTTCTGTGCTAGTTGGCCCTCTGCTAAAATATCCTTGCGCTCTGTGCGGCCCCTTTAAGAGTCCAGCTCCTCCCCGCTCTAGGGAAAGTTACAGCTTTTTCCGCCTCCTGGGAGGGTGAGTAGGGCCGGCCGCCCCGGTTGCTGTATTGGTGTTTTTGGAGCTAGAGACCCTCCCAGACACAGCACCTATACATTTGAGCTCCTACTAGCACCTGTTGCAGGTGACAGGTAGGTGGCAGCTAGTGCCTGAGCGCCCCTTCGCCTTCTGTCTGGGACTTCGCGGACCCTCCAGCACTGTGTCTCTTGACCCCCCACCACCATCTCGGAGACGTGTGTCCTGTTGTACCTTGTGAGCTGTCCCTCTCCTCCCGCCCCAGCTGTTACTCAGGCTCTTCTGCTGTGCCTGCGTCTAGGGACCGCACCCCCAGGTGCCTTCTGTCTGCTCCTGGCGGTCCCTCCTTGCCAGTTTTCCTTCTCTGGGGCTGATTCTCCCTGGTTCCTTTAGACCATGTTTCTGGGTGCTGCCTCTCCACAGGTATCGCTGGCCCAGGGTGCCCGGGCTTGTTCCTGCTAGCCTTGGCCCTTCTGGAGAGAGAGCTGGCCTTAGCGCAGGCTGCCACAGGATTCTAGCAGAGCTGTGTGCTTGGACTTGGCGGCTAGTCACCTTTTTTTTTTTTTTTTTTTTTTTTTTTTTTACTGTTTCTCTCAGGGTTTGGCTAGTCTAGCGTGTTCTATGGCCCATTGCTGTTTCCGAACTCCAGGCTTCTATTTTCCAAGCTTTGCCTTGTCTCTCCATCACAGGTACAGGCTAAAGGTCAGTTGACTCTTGAGTTCTGCCTCAGTGGGCTCCCTTTGGGCTTGGAGCTGGAGACCCAGTTTACTTTAGAGCTCAACTCCTTTATCATGCCATCTTCAAGCAGGAGGGGGGGTTGTTCCTGGCAGAAGGACACCAGTGTTTCTCCAGCCTGTAACATTGGAGGAGATATGATGGGGGAGAAGTTGATGGCAAAATAATTTGGTTAAAAATTCTGGTCGCTTAAAAAAGTGATGTGTTTTGCTTTAACCAAACCTTTCTTCCTTTACTATGTTACTGTTTCAGGACCAGAGGACCTAGCATTCTGCTTCTACCAGGATTGAGCCTAAGCCCCGCGTGTCTGCGAGAAAGTAGTTCCCTATATCCCTGGGCAATTCTTACCTCACTTTTCCTCCTCTCTGTTTTGTTACTTTGAGACAGGGTCTCATTGTAGCTCTGGCTGGTCTGGAATTCATTATGTAGACCAGGCTGGACTCACACTGGCTAGCAATCCTCCTGCCTCTACCTTCCAAAGTGCTTTTACTGGTGTGCAACACCACATTTGTACCCTGCTTCTATTTTTTAACTGGAAACTTCTCTGCTCTTTCTTATCCTTATTGTCTGGAAATAGTTGCTATTAGGGAGTTAATTTACACTAAAGTGTAAATCTACCCTGAAGTAGTGAAAACAATGTTCAGCACAGAGATCTATGGCAATTTTTTCTTGGTATGTGTTTGTGTGTGTGTAAGCACCTACTGGAAACCCTAGTAGAAAAAGCCCCCGCAAAACTGGTTTGTGAGGCTCCCTTTGAGCAGCAGATGACATTGGTAACATGATTTCAAATGTTGCACCCTAGGTCAGAGTGGTAAACTTGAGCTTGGAGGCCTGTTCTGGCATTATTGGTCTGTGAGTGTATGAAGCATTCTTTCTGGTTTTTGTTTTTGAGCACTTTCTCTTCAAGGTTGGAACTACCATAATGATGCTATAATGATTAGATGAAATTTGGCATGGTGATAAGTTCTCATAGTATCTCAGACCAGCCTCATACTAATTCTGTGTAGTAGATGCTACAGTTACAACCGTGTTCTAATGAAAAGGAGACGGAGAGGTTAATTGTGGTGCCCCAAATTACACTCTTACGGTTTAGAGCTTATATGAAGCTAAACTTTGGTCCTTGGTTCCATCTTGGATGTACCGTGGGGGAGTTGAACCACCTCATTCATTTCTTAACTCAGTTAATGTCAAACATAAGGCCAATTGCATGTTGCTGTTGTTAAGTACATACCCCTGAATGTTGCCAGATGACTGAAACTCCCAAGGCTCTCAGCTCTGGTAATTGTCTTGAAGAGAGCATAATCCTGTATTTTAGAGGTGTGTTCCTGGATTCTAGGGATGGGCACCTGATTCAACTTTTTCCTTTCCTGAAGGCCAGGGGAGAAACAATAGTTATAAGCAGCTTACAAGTATTTGTCAAAAAATATGTGTATGGGGGCTGGAGAGATAGCTAAGAGCACTGTCTGCTCTTCCAGAGGTCATGAGTTCAATTCCCAGCGACCACATGGTGGCTCACAACCATCTATAAAGTGAACTGATTCCCTCTCTGGCTAATGTAAATGCAGATAAAACACTCATATACATAAAATTAATAAATATTTTTAAAAATATGTGTATGGAACAAAGCCACATCAGGTAAACTGTCATAGTGAGCCCTTCTTATTTGTAGCTTAGGCAGAGATAGATAGGAGAATGTGTCTTCCTCAACCTCACCTCTGGAACTTTGCTTAAACTGTTGTTTCTTTCCTCTGGAAAGCTTGTCACTCATTATTTCCTATTCATCTTTCAGGATTTAGCTTAAAGTCCTTGCCTTTGAGACAATCTCATTGAAAACATACTTCCTTCCCTTGAGGACAATGACTAGTTATACTATCTTTAAGGGCGTTATTTATATTTTGACAAAGGTCTGAACATCATTCTGTTTTTCCATCTGGAAGGCTGTAATCTCTGTAAAGGCAGTAACTGGATCTTGAAGCACAAATATTTGTGCTAGGGATTGGGGATGCCATGTCTTCAAGAGAAATAAGAAGAAACTATGCTGAGCTATATGTAACCCACAGTAGGGGTTCCTACATTAGTATTACACCTCTCTTTCAAGACTGTCACTTTTCCAGTCCACTTACAATTGAAACCCTTTCCCTAAAAATTCTTTTTTCTCTTTTTAAAAGTTTATTTATTTTTATTTTATGTGAATTGGTATTTTGTCTGTATTTATGTCTGAATGAGGGTGCTGGATCCCCTGGAATAGGAGTTATAGACAGTTGTGAGCTGCCATGAAGGTGCTGGGAATTGAACTCCGGGTCCTCTGGAAAAGCAGCCAGGGTTCTTAACCACTGAGCCATCTCTCCAGCCCTCTTGAGCATTCTTTCTACCTTCTTCCTACATTTGTTTTGATTATTGATTGTTTCACCTCTCCTTCAGAACACAAAGGCCATGTGGATAGGAATTGCTGTCTTTTGTATTTAGTGCCTCTCCTTAGTTCATCTTAACAGTGGCAGCACTGGAAAGGGAGGTGTGAATTATCAGATGTCCTGAGGTCTTTCAGGCATTTGGCAAGGTCAGAGAGAGGATACAGAAGGTGACTGCAATAGGGAAGTAAAAAGCCCAAAAGAATAACACATGCCACAAATTAGGTTTTTAGTCTTGTTGCCTTTTAGCCTTCTTAGGTGTGAAGTGGTTATTAGGTAATGGACTGTGTGGAGAAGTTCCAGCTGAGTAGTGCCTTTACAACACCTGCCTAGTTGTATACTGGTTTTATATAAGAGTAGGCAACAACTGTGAAGCAAAACAAAAGTGCTATTTTGTTTAAATGCTGTTTGAAGTATCCAACCAGAAAGAAGTCCAGAATCTATTTGATAACATTGGACTTGGAAGGAAGTAGGCCCTGGAAAAGGTAGTAACTGTGTACTTCTCAACATTTATTGTGTGTTATCTTCTTTGAAATTTAAGTTTGCACAAATAACTGTCCAAGCTCTTTAAAACTTATCTCTCCAAACACAACATTGGAGTGTCTCAGGGCTCAGCCTATAGACTTTTCTTCACCCCAAAACTTCCTCTCTTTCAGCACCACTATTGTAACATCTATGAGGACAGCCATCATTCATATTTGTCTTCTGGGCTTTTCTTCTATTCTGATGCCTCATGTTCTTAATAGCCTATTTGACATTTCTGTGTGTCATTTGACAGATGCCTCAAGGGTAAGATTGTCAAATGAGGATTATTGACTACCCTAACATCTTTAATCCTTCCCTTCATCTTCCCATGACTAAGAAAAGAGGGCACCATTATCCATTTAGTTGATTGAACCACGAATGTTGGGTTACCCATGATTTGTGTCTCCTTCTTCTTAGCTCAATTCTTATAGTGTTTGAGTTTTTGTTGATCTTACTTTCAAACTGTATCATGTATGTTTCCATATGTCTCCATCTTCTCTGCCTGCCACACTTGTCCAAGCTTCCAAGAAGCTTCATTGAACATTCTTGCACAATGGTCAAAAATATACAACTATTTCTGTGGAACAGCTTTGTATGGGTGTGTGATGTATATGTGCATTCACACATGAGTTTGTGGTTGTGAACATAGAGGTGATGGAGGGCTTTAGGCATCCAGATCTATTATTGTTGCTTTATTATTCCCTTGAAACAGAGTCTCTCATTGATCTAGAGCTCACCATGGTCTGGCTAGGCTGGCAACCAGTGAACCCCAGCAATCTTCCAATTTCTAGCCTCCCTGCCTGTATCAGGCTTTATACATGAATTCTGTAATGAATGAGCTCAGGTCCTCATTAGAGAATGTACCCACTGAATCATCTTCCCAGTCCCTGGAAAAATCATTGTAGTAACTGACTTTCTGGGTGAGGGCAGAATTGATCAATGAATAAATAGTTTCACTTGAACTGGATAGATAAGTTTTAGTCATTTATTGCACTGCATGCTGACCACTGCTAATTCATTGTATATTCTTAAACTCTTAAAGGAATAGATGAATCTTTCTATAATATATCCCATAAATACACACCATCATTATCAATGAAAAAAAAATATGGCATAGACCCATTTAGTACCTCAGAGGGTTTACATATTTACTATCAAGAGTATTTTTTTTTCTTCATGCTCTTATTAAGGATGGATGATTTCTTAAAAATATCTTATTTTTCCTATGGTAGAGTTCAAACCCATGGTCTCATGCATAGTAGGCAAGTAATCTACCAGTCAGTTACACCCCCAGGCCAGGAAAATGTCATATTTATACTAAAGAAGCTTGGCTCTGGTGGGAAGGAGACAAAGCTCAGGGAACATCAGGGTATTCATTTTGTGTTGCTTTAAATACAGGATAGAGAGAAGCCTGTTTATGAGTCAATCACATAGGATTAGATGATATA